CCCGCTCACCCATGCGTTCCCGCAGACCACGCAAGGATGTGCTGCTGCCGCCGCCGGCGACAGCGCGCTCCGCCATCTTCAGAGCCGAGCTGGGAAGCGCCAGTGGCTCTGGGGCCGCAGTGCGCAGGCGCTAAATTGGCCTCTGCTGGGGCAGCGGCTGGGACCACGGGGGGCGGAGCGAGGCGGGGCCTGAAGGGCCTGGACACAGCTTTTGGACCTTCAGCCTAGGCAGAGGGGCTCTTTGCCCACTGCTGCGCCGGCGGGACAGAGGCTAACTTCTCTAAAGAAACCTTCCAGGTTCCATGTTCTATCCTTGCATCCTGGGCGCCTGCCAATCAGCAATCTGCTTGGCCATGTCTCCTCTCTCCCTTTATTAAACTACCTGGCAACTCAGTAACATTTCATCCTTCTCCACCCATTCATTCAGTTAAGGAGCATTTACCTTCTGCGTGCATTTGTATCATGTATTTGCTAATCTTTGAAATACTACACAAAGAAAGGTCCAAGTTGAAGGAACAGACTGAGGGAGAGGCTTGGAGGGGTACAGGTTGCTGTGAGGTGTTGTGAGCCCCATTCATGAAGGGAAACCTTCTTATGTGGTTACAGAACAAATCGTGACACAGTTAGGTCTCAAAGTTGACTGCAAAATCATTGCAGTGTTTGTGAGCTTTTAAGGTGAAAGAGAGGACTTAGCATGAATTTTTTCAGAGTTGGCTGGAGGCCCTTAAAAATTGCTAAATGTTTTCCCCATCTAGAAGGGGAAAATATTGGCCTGAAGTACATCATTTCACGCGCACTTGTGTAGGTGGATTATGGCCTGTGTGGTTATTAATGTGTATTTTGACAAAAGGTTGTCATGGTTGGGGCTGCAAGAGACCTCCAACTGGAGCAGGAGATCACTTGTGAGATGAACATTTCCTTTTTTTGGGGGGTGAACATTTTGATGAGCTCACTGAATTCTCAGAATGACATGGGAGCTATAAAATGGAAGAAGCTAATAATAGCAGGCGCTGGTTATATGTGCCGGGTACTGCTCTTAACTGCACCATGTTTCTGAATACATTTAGTCTCCCTATTATGGCTAGGAGGCATGGGCCATCAGCATCCCCATTTTAGAGATGAGATCTAAAGCAGAGAGACTTTAAATCGTTTGTCCCGAGTCATACAATAAGTGGTAGAACTGGAGTTTGTACCCAAAATGTCCTGCTTTGGTATTCATGTGATCAGCCTTATGCAATATTGTTTCATGAGAGTTGAGACCTAGATGCTTTATTAGTGATTAAAATCCAGAATGCACAGAGATCTAAAAGTACATAAGATAAAAAAAACTTCTAAAAAGTGGGCAAAAGGCATAAACAGGCCAATCAAAGGAGAGAAGATACAAATGGCATATACATATATATTTTTTTAATGCTCAAGCTCCAGTAGTCAAGACAAATGGAAAGCACTACAAGATATGCTACACCTACAGAAGTAGCACATTTAGACCAATCTAGGCTGTGGCATATTCTAGAAAATAAGTGGCCTGGATGCTTCAAAATGCTGTTGCAAAAGACTGAAAAGTCAGGGACGTCCTCTAGAACAGAAGAGGAAAAGAAGATCAAATGCTATGTGTAATCCTTGATTAGATCCTGGATTAAAAAATAGCTTTCAAGGGCATTCATTATTGGGACAGTTGGGAAATTTGGAATATGAACTCTGTTATGTTGCAACAAGGTCAGAGAGTTTTGGGTGTAAGAATGGCATTTTAATTATATAAGAATATGTTCTTTTTCTTAAACGCTGTAAAAATGAGGGATAAAGCCACATAATGTCCGAAAACATACCAACAAGTAGGTCAGGAGAAAAACAGATAAGAACAAATATCACAAAAAGTTAAATATCTAGACAGTTACATGAAGTTCATTTTACTATTGTTTCAATTTTTCTGTAGTATTTTTGTAGTACAGGAGGTTTGTCTTCAGCTTACTTATAGACACAATTACTTTGAAAATAAGACTTTATTAGGAATTACATATAGAGAAGAACCTTACATAATCTTTTCAGTGTTTAGGGCCTTTAAAGGCCTTACTTAGTTTAGTAAGTCTAGCAAGGGTGTGTGGGAGAGAGAGGAGATAAGAAATCTACAGACGACCAAAAGCAGGCAGGATGTGTGAGGAGCTAGGTAAGTAATTTCAATGGCTCCTAAGATCTTAGAGGGATGAGAAATCAGTTCTGTTTTGGGCATCAGTGTCAGAAAAATCTGGCATTTATTATAAGCCTGAGGTGGGGACTAAGGGAACCAGAGAGTATTGCTTTACTTCCAGAAAAGTAGGCTGCCCATGGTCGTTGAGGGGGAGGTGGGCTCATCTGGGCCCAGATCCCTCCATTTTTCAAAATGAGCAGAGAATCTGGCTTTTAATATCAGATCTCTTATATTAAAGTGACAGAAGCATTTAAAGTTAAAAAAAAAAGCACTGAGCAAGGCAAATAAAACTATCAATTATGACCCCAGTGTCAAAATTTCCTGATTTTTTTCATATTTAATGTCTGAATAAAGATCCTAGGAAGGTCTATACATTGCATTGACATTCTTTTTAAATGTCTTTAAATCTGTAAATATCCCTTTTTCTGTAACATCTCTTACAGACTGAAATTTAGCATTCACTCATTCAGTAGGTAAGTCATTCAGTTAAACTTTCACTGACCACCTTCTCTGTGCCTGACAGAGATCAAGAGATAGAGAAAGAATCCCTGCCCTCCAGACCTACAACCCTCAGTGATTGGAATGTAATGATTCATTTTAGGGTAGCCTTAGAAGTTCCTTGGGGCTAGAGCAGCTCCCTAAGGAGCCCTCACCAGACCAAACATTTCATAGGAAATGCTGAATCTGGAGGCTGCCAGCTAGGGTAGAGTGAAGGCTATTTGGGAGTCAAAACAAGATTCAGAACTTGGAAAGAACCCAGGCTGCTTCTTTCCTCCTTGTGTTTGGAAAGCATATCTTCCCCAGTGAGCAGGAGAGGAATCCTGCTTACTTTTCCTCTTCTACTTGGTTTTGTTTGTTTGTTTGTTTGTCTGTTTTTGCCCTAAAAAAATTCAAAAACTACAGTCATAATAGGTCTAGGACTTGACACATTTTTTATTAAAAGATGAAACTTTTAAAAATCAATTTTACATCTAATAAACACTCAAAGAACTTAACCAAGTCTAATACATTTGTATTTACATTGCTGAGTTTTAAGCTTACTGGCCATGTGGTGGCTCTTTCTCTCCATCCTGAACTACTTATTAGTCTCATCCATCATACTCACAGTACAAACAGGGCTCCGGTTTTGTGTTCTTTCTCCTTTCATTTCTGACTCTTATCCTTTACCTGCAGCAGCCTGGCTGTGATGTTTCCTTCTGGGCTCATCTCTTGTCAAACCTACTCACATTTTCCTTCCCTTCCCCAAATCTGCATTTTCTTGCCTCCTATGGTACAGACCTATCTGGTCATTTCATTTCTCTCTTAGGGGATGGTGGCCTTCTCAGCTCTGGAATTCCCACTGCAATTACACCAGCCCCCCACTTCCAACTGGCCCTTTAGCTATTCCCCCATTCTCTAATTTCAGCAGGCTGTTCTGTACCATCATCTTTTAGGGAGTCCCCAGTCTTTCCTAGGCTGGGGGTGGGGAGTTGATTTTCATTGCCTAAAATCACTCACCAGGGTGGGAACTGTGAACTTCTGAGGGGAGGAAGAAGAGACTACCATTGAGGACATTTCTTTCTGCACTGGAAATTCAGAAAGGAAGCGTGTAGTCATGGTGGCAGTAGTAGGTAAGTCTTGGGTACTTACTGATAGACAATAAGAGCTGTCACTTGTCAAGTGACTAAATGGCAGGCACAGTGATAAAGGTCTGGCATGGATTATTTCATGTAATCCTCATTACAACTTTATGAGGAGCTTCTGTTCTCACCCCTATTTTACAGATGAGGAAGCAGGCACATGGTAATAACTAACTCGTCCAAGGATATCTCAGTTAGGAAGTGGCAGTCTGGATTCAACTTCACATATATCTGAGCCAGGCCTCATACTCTTTCCACTGTGCATCTCAATTTCCCGGTTGATAAGCGCTAACATATTCTGAATTCCTAACTAATGACATCTACTACTTCCTTTTATCCAACCCTCACACTCTGGTCACTAAGCCTTTTCAAAGTTGCGCATTCTACTTGGTAAAGTCTTACCACGGTGACATCTCCCAGCCCAAGTATCAGCACAGCTGTCACTTAAATTTTTAATGGAACCAACTCAAACTACTGAATAAGAAACTATTGAAAGTGGGAGTTTAATATATTTCTGGCAATGGAGATAGATATGACTATGAAGCAGCCTCTTTCTAGGAAGTCTCAGTCCCAATCAAAATACATGTATAAGGGAAAAAGAATCACATTTGGCATGCTCTATCTTTGATAAGGAATACAATTGAATGAATGAAAGAGAGTACTAAAAGCCTCCCTGGATCCTGCAGGAGGAAGAAATGAAAATATTTTGGGTGGCCACTAGGGTGTAGAATTTAGATTTAAATTGTGAAAGGACAAAAAAAAGTCTTCATTTTCTTTCTTGACTTCAAATAAAGTAGAGCAAACATGGGGTATGCCTTCTCATTCTAAATACAGGCCTGCAATATAAGGAAAGTTCATGGGCTGCCAAAAGGCATAAAATATCAAGGGCTGCCCTTTAAAGTCACTTAGGACTTCTGATAGAGCTAAAACTCAGTAAAATTCATATGAAAGTGATCAGAAAAGAGGAGCCAGAATGGTTTGTTAAGACACAGATTGTTAGAGTTTTTTATTCTATTGGTGTTATTTGTATGGCACACACTTCTAAGGAAGGGTTCTGTATAATGTCTAAAATGATGTCAACTAGAGTGGAGCATGTAATACCACTGTAACGTATTAGAAAACTAATACAGATCTAGTGTCATGGACATGCTGGATATTTATTTACTTATTTAACCAAGAGCAGGCAGAATCTTTGCTCTTGGATACATGGAAATCCAAGGTACCAGTACGACGGCATTAGATGAGCATCACAAGGAGAAAAGTGTATCACATTACAGGCAGAGGGGGGCACACGACACACAGGGAGAG